AAATTAATAGAATGAGTTTTTAAAAAATGAATCCTGGATTAATGTTCAAAATTGTCTGAATATTCATTGTTTGAATATACCATTCATCCCAATGACATGCATCCAATTTGTTTTTTTTTTCATTTATTTTCGTACCAAACTCATTCCTTATTGATTACCTTTTTTCCAATTCACCTTGTGCTCTATTATTGTTGTATCCCCAGAATAAATCGAGAAAATGTATGAGTGCATTATATTTGTCAAGAATTGAAATGATGATGAATGAGTGACAATGTGCATAAAAGAGTCTTACATTCCTTTGAAGAAAAATCCAAAATGATAAGAAAAAAAAGAAGATAGAAACCTAGAAAAAATGATTTGAGAAGGCACATGGTGTGACCAAATGATGAATATAGGAATGAATTGGTCGACATAACCTGTCAATGGTGATCAAGTGATGAACATAATATAGATCAAATGATAAAATTTATTCTAAAATTGCTAGTACTGATGAGCCTATGAGTTATGATTAAATGATATGGGACAATGGATGAAATTTGTTTTGAAATTGTTAGTGCTGAAAAACCTATAAGGGATAGAAATAATGATCAGTTGATGAAACTTGTTCCAAAGTGTTGAGAAGTTGAAGAAGAAGGGTGAGAGATGGTGGAGTCTTGAGGACTATATTACCACATTTTGATTAGAATTACATGCATTACATTAGCATTGTTGTTTAAAACTTTGGTTTGAAAATGCATTTGCATTATGCAGTAAACATTTGAATCATGGTTAAGAATATGGCATTATAAGAATCTGAATTGTTGCATTTGCATCATTAAGAAAATATTTGCATCATTGATCATGACATTCATTGCATGCACAATTTTGAGTCACTTGAAAAATAAATTGTGAATCTTTTGATGAGAATTTTTGAGTTTTCAAATGGGAGTCTTTGAACTCAAATGAGAATTTTTTAGTTTCAAAACGAGAATATTTGAGGTGTGAAATCCTAAAGTTCATCAAATGTGAATCTTCGAACTAGAATGAAAAGTTTTGAAGTTTTGGATGTGAATTTTCAAAATTCAAACGAAAAGCTTTGAACTCAACTTTTGGATGCAAATCTCTAAATTTTTGAGTGAAAACCTTTGAACTTAGATGTGAAACTCTAAGTTTTATTGTATGTGAGCCTTTGAACTTGAATGAGAAATTTTAAACTTTTAGATATGAATCTCCAATATTCAAATGAGACTCTTTGAATGTGGATGCAAGTCTTGCAATTTGCAAATGTAAATCTTGAGATCTTATGAATCAAATTCTTGTGAAACTGAAATTTTGAGAATCAAATTTCAGTGAATTTTTACGAAGTTGAAAGGTTTTTGCGAATGTAAAACTTTGGTTATTGAACTCAAATTGTGAATCTTTGAGTTTTCATTACAAATTCCATCATATATGATCTACGACTCCTCTAGACATGATTGTCAATGAGCATTTATTTTTTCAAAGTTGTGGTACCTCTGTTTAGAGGAACAATTTACTTTTCAAAGTTGTGGTGCCTCTATTTAGAGAAGTAATTTACTTTTTCAAAGTTTTAGTGACTCTGTCAATAAGAGCTTTGTTTTATTTTTCAAAGTCGTTGTGCCTCTGATTAGAGGAGCCTTGTTCATTTTTCAAAAGTCGTTGAGCCTTTGTTTAGAGGAGCTTTATTTTATTTTTCAAAGTCGTTATACTTCTGATTAAAGGAGCCTTGTTAATTTTTCAAAAGTCATTGAGCCTCTGTTTAGAGAAGTCTTATTTATTTTCAAAGTTGTTGAGCCTCTGTTTAGAGGAGCCTTATTTATTTTTCAAAAGTTATTGAGCATCTGATTAGAGGAGCTTTGTTTATTTTTTAAAGTTGTTGAGCTTCTGTTTAAAATAGCCTTATTTATTTTTTAAAGTTGTTGAGCCTCTGTTTAGATGAGCATTTATGTTTCTCAAAGTCATTGAGCCTCTACTTAGAGGAGCTTTGACTAAAACAAAAAAAAATGAAAATAATAATAAAAAAATAAAAAAAGAGAAAAATGTCAAGTTGAGTCTTGAATGGGTATCTACGTCTTTGCACAATTTTTGTTTTACAAAAAATGTGCAAAGAGGGGCAGTTATAGACACCTAATTTGGTCTAGGCCCAGATCAATTGGGTTTGGTCCAATGGGGTCAGTCAAACCCAAAATTTTGGGCTTAATTAATTAATTTGTTTGTTTTTCTTCTAGATTTTTTTTTCTTTCTTTCTTTCTTTTCTTTTTTAGATTGATTTTTGGTTATGAAATAATAATTAGAATAAATAAAAATAATAAAAAAATAAGAATGAATCTTGCATGAATGGGGTTAGATAGAATCATAGTTAGACTTAATCCTTATAGAATAAGTCTAAGGGTTAATCTGATAACCCAATCGAAAAGGGAATCTGGATTAGTCAGGGGCTCTATGATTAATTCCTATAAATACATATTGATCAAACACAGAAAGGACACACATAGGAAAATAGAAAGAGAAACACAAAAAATAGGGTAAACAAAAAAAAGAAGTGGGCAAAAAGTATTTAGAAAGACTACGAGAATCCTAGGATTGTTAGAAATTTTTTTCAAATTTTTTTCATCGAAAACTAAAAATTTTCGGCACTGGTTGAATTTTTAGGCTACTTTTTCGACACCGATTGAATTTTTCGATGATATCCCCAGTTTTCGACATAACATCTCTAGAAATCGTTGAACTTTTTGACAAATTTCCTGCGAAAAACCTAGATTCAGGCCAAATTTTCCAGAATTCGATAAAATTCAACGGCGTTCTTGGGGTGCCAGAGAGAGAGAGAGAGAAAAGAAAAGGAAGAGAGAGAGTAGGGAGGAGAGATCTAAGGAAAAAGAACTGAACTCAGCCTTTTATACCCCCTACGAAATGATGTCGTTTTGACTTTCATAATCCCAGATGATCTGCATGTTTGCCATCAGGCAACCCAACCCAAGCGTGAACCCGTTCCTAACCCGCATGCCAACCAAACCCTTCAGTCGCACCGAGCCAAGCCACTTGCCCCGAGCCGTGCTGTTCCAGCCTCTTTCTGAGTTTGTAGCCAAACCATCCCGAGTTGTTCCAGCCAAGCTGTTTTTGATACTTTTTTTTAGTATTTTATTTATTTATTTATTTTTATGTGTTTTTTTAGTTTTTTTTTTGCATGAATAAATTTAGAAATAAATAAATAAAAATAATAAAAATAAAATTTTGAGAATAAATATTATTTATCCAATGATAGAATTTATAGAAATTTCAAATAGTAAATTTATATAAAATTCTTAGGTGAGAAATTTTCTCTAAATTTGTCTCAAATGGTGGAATAATTTAGATAAAGTTTCAATAATAGTAATTAATATTTATTTTCAAACAAAAAAATATAAAATGAAAAAATATAAAAATTATGGGAATTAAATACAAATTACCCAATGATAAGATTCTTAGAAATTTCAAATGGTAAATTCCTAAGAAATCTCTAAGTGAAAAATTTTCTCTAAATTTATCCAAAATTGTGGAATAATTTAAATGAAAGTTTCAATAAAAGTAATTGTATTCTTTTTCCAAACAAAAATTTTGGTTGAAAATATATGATAATTATCCAAGGATGAGATTCTTAGAAATTTCAAACGATAAATTTCTAATAAATCTCTATGTGAGAAATTTTCTCTAAATTTGACCCAAATTGTAGAATAATTTAGATGAAATTTCAATAAAAATAATTTCATATTATTTTCTTTTCAAGAAAAAAAATTTTTTAAATAGGCTTAAATGGTGAAAATTTTAAAAATTCAAAAGAGAAAATATTTTTAATTTGACCCAAATGGTGGAATAATTAGATTTATTTTCAACAAGAAAAAATGATAATAATAAAAAATAATAAATAAACCTTTTTTTCGACGACGGGACCTCTTTAAGAAATCCAATGAGATTCTTGAATATTCTTGAGGTGAGGAAGTATTTTTTAAAAGTTCTACCAGATTAATGGAGAATCTTAAAAATTGTTTTCAATATTTAACTTGGAAACCATTATACTCCAAACCTTAGGATAAATTTGAAATAATATGGTATCATCCTTTGGATTGGCATGTGGGGGTGTTATAACATTCCTTACATGTAACCGAACTCTCGAACCCTAAATAGGTTAGTAGACCCGAACCTATTCTTTTAGAGACGCTTAGTCAAGCTTGGAGCTCTTTAAGATGATAGATTCCTTAAGTGACCAATCACACATAGATAAAAAAGATTGGTGATGACTTCATTCATTTGTTAAATCTAGTTATAAATTTTCGGATCTATATGTTATGACAATTATTATGGGTATGATCTTTTCTTATGAAATACTTAAACTGGATGTGTCTCACTATATCAAAAAATAATTTATTGCATTCAAACTAAGTGCCTTAAATTTTATGGATAATATAATATTTTTATTCAATACTTAATTCTTTTGTATCATGTACCAAACATAAAAAATTTCATAAATCAACAATGATACATTATGTCAACATAATCAAAGGAAAAATTAATTAAGGCAATAATTTTAAACTCCACTTATTTCAAATAAATACTATTTAATATTATCTAACTATTAAAAAAATACAAACAAAATACTAGTGGTACCAAAACCTCATGAAGTTTAAATCCAAATTGTCTTAACAATTCATGTTGCATTCAAACAAAAGTCCAAAAATTAATAAAATAAATTTTACTTAATTTATTCAATTATACACATAATTTTAGCTCGAGAGTACGTAAAATTTAAATATCATATAGGGAGAGTACGTATATTCAATAGACTACAAGCATGTCAAAATATTTTACTATAAAATAAAATACTAGAATTCACATACACAAAATATAATAATTATTTAATTATACATAAATATTATATAATAAATATTTTATGCCATTTAAAAGTTTTATAAAAATAATAAACAAATACAGCATAAAATATCAAAACTAAAAGAAAAATGGCACTGAAAATGGACGTCGAAATTGAGTTTCAAATAAGTCAATTTCTTGATTCTAACACTACTTCACTAGCTCAGCATGTTTATTCGAGTCAGTACTAATTATGACTCGTTTCATTCCTCCAGCTTTCGCTAGGTGACCCCAACTTGAATGGGTCAAATTTGACCGATTTTAGGTTTATTTCAATTTTTAACCAATTTTTTTCTATTTAAACCTTTAAACATGCAATTAACATATGGAATTTAACAAAACCCATGCCACATATATGTATAAAAAAACACATAAATCACCATGAATTTGAAGAACAAAATTTTTTGTTCATAGTCATTCTGGACCGATTTTAATTACTTGATTTTCTTTTTTTAGATTTTTCATTTTTTTCTTTAAGTTTAATGCAATTAAATGCTCTAAAATTTTAAGTAACACATATCTTCACATCCAAGTTGAAAATACATAATTAAACTGAATATGTCTCATTGGATCAAAAAGTAATTTATTGCATTCAAACCAAGTGCCCTGAATTTTATAAATAGTTTAATATTTTCACTCAATACTTAATTTTCATGTATCATGTGTCAAAAATAAAAATTTCATAAATCAACAATGATACATAATGTTAATATAGTCATAGGAAAAAATAAATCAAGGAAACAATTTTAAATTCCAATTATTTTAAATAAATATTATTTAATATTATCTAATTATGAAAAAAATACTAATAAAATACTAGCGGTACCAAAACCTAGTAAAGTTTAAATCCAAATTGCCTTAACAATCCATGTTGCATTTAAACAAAAGTCCAAAATTTAGTAAAATAAATTTTACTTAATTTATTCAATTATACACGTAATTTCAAGTTGAGAATATGTAAAATTTAAGTGTCATATAAGAAGAATACGTACCTTCAATAGATTTCAAACATGCTAAAATATTTTATTATAAAATAAAATAACAAATTCATGTGCAAAAAATATAATAATTATTTAATCATACATAAATATTATATAATAAATATTTTATGGCATTTAAAAATTTCATAAAAATAATAAATAAATACGGTATAAAATTTGGAAACTAAAAAAACAAACGACATCGAAAATGAACACAAAATGAGTTTAGATAGGTCAATTTCTTGATTCTAGCACTATTTATTAACTCAGTACTGTTCACCGAGTTAGCACTGTTATAACTCATCACTGTTCATCTACTACCTTCAGGTTGATCCGACTTGACTGGGTCAAATTTGACATAGTTTAGGTTTATTTCAATTTTTAAATCATTTTTTTTTTTGCAATTAAACCTTTAAACATACAATTAACCTATGGATTTACAAAACCTATGCCACAATATGCATAAAAAAAACATAAATCACCATGAATTCGAGAACAAAATTTTATGTTCATAGCCATTCTTGACCCGTTTTTATTAGTTGATTTTTTTTCATGTTTTCCTTGAGTTTTAATGCAATTAAATGCTCTAAAATTTAATTAGCATATATATTTACATTTAGGTTGAAAGTACACAATTAAATCGAATATGTCTCATTAAATCAAAAAATAATTTATTGTATTCAAACCAAATGTTTTGAATTTTATGGATAATTTAATACTTAATTCTTATGTATCATGTATCAAAAATAAAGATTTCACAAATCAACAATGATACATAATATTAATATAGTCATAGGAAAAAATAAATCAAAGAAACAATTTTAAACTCCCAATTATTTTAATTAAATATTATTAGTATTATCTATTTATGAAAAATAACAACAAAATAATAGTAGTATCCAAAATCTTGTGGAGTTTAAATTCCAAATTGTTTTAAAAATCCACGTTGCATTTAACACAAGTTCAAAAATTAAGTAAAATAAATTTTACTTAATTCTATTCATTGTACTTATAACTTTAGGTTTAAAAGTATGTAAAATTTAAATGTTATATAGGAGACGTAGTACTTTTATAGATTTCAAGTATAAACCAAATATTTTATTATAAAATAACAGAATTCATGTGTACAAAATATAATTATTATTTCATCATACATAAATATTATATAATAAATATTTTATGTTATTTTAAAAATTTCATAAAAAATAAATAAATGTAACATAAAATTTTGAAACTAACAAAACAAACAGTACCGAAAACGGATCCAAAATAAGCCTAAACAAGTCAATTTATTGATTCGGTACTATTTATTAACTCAGTACTAATCACCTAGTCATATAGTCGTGATTAGGGGTGTAAACGAGCCGAATCGAAGTCGAATAGTGAGAAGCTCGAGTTCGACTCACAACTCGGTGCTCGATACTCGGCTTGAGTTCGATCGAATTTTATTTTTCAAGCTCGAGCTCGATTCGTGATCGAATTCGAGCTACTCGAGCTCGCTCGATTAAGCGCGATTAATATTTAAAAATAAGCTCGATTCGTATACTCGACAAAAGTTTGATTATTCATGCTCGAACTTGAACTCGAACTCGGACTCGAAATATTTTATTAATTAAAATAATAAAAATATATTTAAATATAAAAGCTCGATTATGCTCGTGAGCTACTCGAGTCAGATATAAAAATACTCGAATTCGGCTCGATCGATAAGTCGAGATACTCGAGCTCGAGCTCGACTCGACAATAATCGAACAAAATTCGAATTTTTTTCGAATCGAATCCGAGTAGCTTGCGAGTACTAATGTATCATTTATACCCCTGATCGTGACTTGCACTCTTCATCTCCTAGCTTCAGTCAGGTTAACCCAACTTGATTGGTCAAATTTAACCCAATTTAGGTTTATTTCAAATTTTAAGCCAATTTTGATGATTTCTTTTGCTATTAAACCTTAAACATGCAATTAATATATTGATTTACAAAACCTATGCCACAATATGCATAAAAAAAAACATAAATCACGATGAATTTGAAAACAAAATTTAATGTTCATAGTCATTCTTGATCCGTTTTTGTTACTTAATTTTTTTTCTAAGATTTTTCATGCTTTCCTTGAATTTTAATACAATTAAATGCTCTAAAATTTAATTAAGACATATATTTACAAAATTCATGCTTTAAATCTCATCAAAACAACATAAATCAATATTAATTTATTTTAGGATAGAAATACATACATAACTTTATAGTTTCTTCACAATTGATCAATTAAAATCCAAATTACTTGTAACTAAAACACATGTTTCAAGTTTAAAACACATGGGTAACAATATTTGATAACCAATTTTGATTAAAACATATAAAATATCAAGGTTTTAATTAAATCTTGAATTTAGTCAAATCTTGAACCCAAACATTTAAACCCCAATTTCTTTTCTCTATAAGATGAATTAATAAATGTTCCATATATAGTTTTAATCCTCTTACAGAAGAAAATAAAATCCCCAAATCAATTTTAAGAAAATAAGATTAGAAAATTAGATTGCGATAATCACAAAATTTTGTCTAAAATATTGATTTAATGCAAAATTAAAATTTAAAATCATAAATTTGGATCCTAAGTCCAATCATATTGCCAATTAGCGACTACCAGACAAGAGGACACTAGTTATGCAATAATTTAAAAGAGTCAGAAGACTCGAGATGAAGAAAAACATTTCACATAAGAAGGCATTGATACCACATGCATAATTTTAAATTTCAAGAAATATACGTGAATATTAGAACAATAAATTTAATTACACACCTGCATGGGTAGACATAATTGAAAAGTGAAAGCAACACCAATTCTTGAAAATACTAGGCTTTTCCCTTCACTCTTTGTTTATTAGTAACTCTCAATAGGTAAATACTGTTAATTAGAAGTGAAGAGTTGGAGCTTAGCAAAATATTATTAAAACCCTAAAACCTTTCTCGTCAAAAGTTTATTAGGTTAAAAGTTGACACAATCAACAAATCACACTAATCCTGTAAGATGTGTAAAACCTATATATAAATGATCACAATTAATTATTTAAACTCTCATACTTATTTTATATTAAGATAAAATATATTTTATTAAACTATAAAATCACTAATTAATAGCAGTTCACTTTACAAAAAATTCTAGCAAAATTCATATAGCCATCATTCATTTTTTAATTCCCTAACAATTTCTCGTGCATAGATATTAGAATCCAGAGAGAAAATGCAGAGGAATGATCAATGTTAGTGTCAATACCATGGAAGACAAGCGTTTGCATACTGATTTTGGTTGGACAAAGAGAACAACAACATGGGCTTTGGAATTGCAACATGCAAGCCCGATAGTGTTTCTCTGAAAGCATGATTTTATTGGCAAGAACAAAGGCACTTGAATTTGGAGACTACAAATGTCATTTTGATTCTACTGTAGAAAAATTACACACACCGAAGGTTTGCAAGGTAATAAACATAAAATTGTCCATTTCCAGTTGATTCTTGAGAAAAGAGAAAGCTACATGTCGCTTTCAAATATAAAAGCGAGCAACTTCTAACAAAAAGCAATTCAGTTCAACCACAAGTCTGTTTTTTTTTTTTTTAAACGAGGAAAAAGCTCTATTGTTTCTTTGCGGTGGCGATGCATGATTATCTTATACTTCCCGTCACTGAAAAGCAGCAACAACTTGCAGTTTCTGCGGAAATGCTTCACTCTTATACGGTTCTGCTCTCACTTCTCCTACTACGCGTTTCTGTTCACTCTTTCTTCTCCCGCCAGCTGAAGCTGTTGATGATACTTACACTCTTCCTTATGAGTACTTCGTTAACTGTGGATCAAAGGCTAGTGTCACCTTTGGAATCAGGAACTTCACAGGAGACGGTCCCTTTTCTGGAAGAGGATGCAAACCTGTCCAAGACACTAAACCTTCAGGTGATACACCAATGCTCTATCAAACAGCAAGAATATTCAGACGCCCTTCCCCTTATAAGCTTGAAATAAGCCAAAAGGGCACGTACCTGGTACGTCTTCATTTCTTTGCTCTCTCATCTTCTGTCAGTTTAGCGGATGCTGTGTTTAATGTCTCAGCCCAACCTAATGCCTCAGCTCCATTGCTTTTACTGTTGTCGAATTTTACCACGAAAAATAGCAATGAATCCACAGTGGTTAAGGAATTCTTACTTAGAATTGGAGCTGGTAAATTCTTGACCTACTTCATACCTTCTCAAATATCATGTTGGCTTTGTAATTGCCATTGAAGTCTTTCTTGCCCCTAATGGCTTCATCCCTGATTACGCCACACACATAAATTTGTCTGGGATTAAAGGCAATTATAGTGGTTTACTTTCTAATGTTTTGCAAAAAGCTTATAGAATCGATATCGGAGGTCCCAACAACACGGAAAAGAATGATACACTTATGAGGTATTGGACATCAGATGACCAGTTTTTGCTCTTCCCAGGATTTGCTAAAAACAGGCCAATCAGCTATGATCAATTAGAATCTGAACATGGAACTAATGGTTCAACTAGGTATATTGGCCCAGAGGAAGTCTATGGGACTGCCAAAGAATTGAATTCTAATAATAGCAGCAAGATAAAGTTTTCGAGTAGTACTTGGCGTTTTAAAGCCAATGAGCATGCTAGGCACTTTGTTCGGGCGCATTTCTGTTAGCATCTCACTTCAATATTCTCTGCTCAGTCTCTGCATCAATGGAAATTTTTGTCAGTTGATTAGTACAAATGAGATAGTTAATAAGTTGGTAGCTCCATTTTATGCTGATTTTGTTGTTGATTCTGTTAAATCTGGAAATTTTGTCATAAGTGTTGCCCCTCCTAAAGATGATACATATCAAATTGCCTTTTTGAATGGCCTTGAGATTATGCAGCTAATGGAAAATTCATATTCGTCTTTTGTGCCAATGCCACCCAAGCCCAAGAACAAAATTTTGTTCATTATTGACGGTTCACTTGGTCTGGCATTTGCATTCATTATAATGGCGGTCGCAATGATTCGTCTAGTTTGCAAGAAAGAAGATGCGGTTGAAAATCCACGTTTGCCATCTTCTTTGGCTTTTCCTGGATGGAGTGAAAATGACATGTCAAATTCTACAACTGTTGGTCATGGTTTGGACCTTGGATTAAGGATACCCTTTGCTGAAATACGGCAAGCAACACAAGATTTTGACTCAAAACTTTTCATTGGTGAGGGTGGATTTGGAAAAGTATATGGTGGAACTCTTCATGGTAAGAAAGTCGCTGTTAAACGAAGGAAACCAGGATACAAGCAGGGTCTTGCGGAATTCCAGACAGAGATAATGGTACTTTCCCGAGCTTGCCATCGCAACCTTGTTTCCTTGATGGGATTCTGTGATGAAAGGTCTGAAATGATATTGGTTTATGAATTCATGGAAAAGGGGAATCTTAGAGATAATCTATATGACACAAATGGCTGTTCTAAACAAAATGGATTGTCATGGGAGAAAAGACTTGAGATCTGCATTGGCTCAGCAACAGCCCTCCATTTCCTGCACACAAGTTCAGCTGTGAAAATTATTCACCGTGATGTTAAGTCAACAGCCATCTTTCTAGATTAAAATTACACAGCTAAAGTATCTGATTTCGGTATTTCAAAATCAAGTCATTCTGATCTAACCCTGGATAATACAATTGTAAGAAGGTAGCATTGGTTATTTTCATCCAGAATATTTTGTCTTTAGAGTCGACAGAAAAATCTGATGTGTACGCTTTTGAAGTGGTACTTCTAGAAGTTCTCTGTGCTAGACCAGCCATTATCAACTCACCTCAGAAGGAAGAGGTGAACCTAGCAGATTGGGGTTTGTTTTGGCTAAAGAAAGGGCAGCTTGAAAAAATTATTGATCCTTCCCTAGTGGATAAAATAAACCCTAATTCGTTTAGAAATTTTGGTGAAATAGTTGAGAAGTGTTTGGAGGCAAAGGTTAGTAATAGGCCTACGATGCGCGATGTGCTATGGACTTAGAATATGCATTGAGCATACATACAGAAATAAACAGAGAAGACCTTGGTGAAAGCACCACTAATGTTTCATTGCAGTTGGGATTGCCGTGCTCCTGCATTTACCAACCAGTAGCTTTCCAGTTGAAGAAAATGAACAGTCATAGTAGGTAACAGTGGCTCAGATAAATCTGCTAGTGAAATGTTCTCCCAGTTGAAGTTGCTGGCCCTAGATAATCTGCATTAATTCAAGGTACCAAATATGATCATAATTTCAGCAGTTTCTGATATCTGTTAGCTATTTATTGTTTTGGTGAAAAATGGAGAAACTTAAACTTCTTCCTCCTTCGCCCAATACTGTAAAGTGTGAAGTGAAGTGTATCAATCAGCAGCGGATTAATGTTCTTAAATTGGTAAACTTAAGCAGGTCAGATTTATCATCTTGGTTGAAGAATAAATGTTCTTATTTCTATTCTTTTGTTCCTAGGATCTGTTCTTTGGCAGGAAAATTTCATTTCTGTCAATTTTGCGATAATAGTATGGCTAACTAATACAAGGGCTTTACCAGGGAAGGAAGATCACTCATGTCATGTCAACATTTAAAATCTGCTATCAACCTGACACGGGCCAAGACATCAAGGATGTTATATGAACTCCAGCAAATCAACTAGAACTGAATCGAGGGTTGACTCAAAACAGATTACAACCCGAGGTTCAACTTCTGCTAAATGATGGATGATGGAGTATGTATGAAGTGCTTGTAAAATAATAATCCATATATTCTGAAGTAAATGTATATCTGTTTATGTTTGTTCCCTGTTAGAACAGTTTAGTCTTCTAACTTGTTGCCCCATGCGTGGTTTTTAGAAGACCCTCTAGCCAATGGTAAACTACGACTCAGCATTACAGAGTGTCAGAGATGCTAAATAGATTCGAGGCACATGATTTGAGGAATGAATCACTAATAGTTCTTGTTTATTTCCAGTCGCTCACAGGAACTTGCTGAATATCATGACCTTTTCATCCGAAGTTCTCACCCAAAAAATTTGACAAAAGTCACGAGATCTTCAAAATCAATCATCATATAACTGTAACATGTCCAATTCAGAAAAATTAATGAGATTTAACAGTGCCAGGAAACTATATGCTGGCAGGTAAAGATCACCTTGAAGCCATGTCCAACTAACATATCCGTGACACAGTTTCTATAACAATTGAGTCCAACCAGAAGTCTGTTTCCATGGGGCCTGATAGTAGTTGTATAGAGACAAGACAAAGCCTTTCTAAATGGGGTTGAGATAATGGAAGTGATGGGGCAATCTGATTTGGTTCCTAAAACAAATGAGTCCAACCAGAAGTCTGTCTTTATTATTGTGGGTTCTTGTCTAAATTTTTGGAGGTCTGCTGTTTTTTGGATTGAGAAGCAGGAACCAAAAACCTGTTAAAACTTCATATTGGTCACCATTTTCTGCACATAAAGAAAGTACTCACATTATTTTGAAGACGTCTCAACTGTCAACATAAGGCACAGAGGGAACCATCAATGTTTCGCCTGTCCCTAACTTGAATCTGAGTTTAAAGATACCATATTTTGAGATTCAGTTAGCAACAAACAACTTCGATAAGAAGTTGCAGATTGGTAAGGGTGGATTTGGTAATGTCTATCGATGGAGGAACTCTCAGAACTGGCTTGAAAGTTGCTGTGAAACGAAGTGAGCCAGGGTCAGGTTAAGGACTGCCAGAATTTCAGACGGAGATCATGGTTTTATCCAAAATTAGCCATTGCAATTCGCAACTTGTTTCCCTGATCGGATATTGTGACGAAGGGTTTGAGATGATACAGATCTACGAGTCCATGGAACTTTGAGGGATCACCTATATAACTCAAAACTACCTTGCTTGTCTTGGAAGCAAAGGCTTGAAATTTGCATTGGTGCAGCAAGAGGACAACATTACCTCCTCAAAGGTACATCTGGGGGCATCATCCACCGTGATGTCAAGTCCACAAACATCTTGCTTGATGAGAACCTTGTAGCCAAAGTAGCTGACTTTGGCCTTTCAAGATCAGGTTCTCCTGATCAAACCCATGCCAGCGCAGACTTTGAAGGAACTTTCAGTTCTCTTGATCCTGAGTACTTTAGGACACAACAGCTGACAGAAAAATCTGATGTTTATTCGTTCGTTGTGGAGGTTCTTCTTGAGATGCTATGTGCGAGGCCAGCTATCAACCCTACACTTCCAAGAGAGCAAGTGAACCTAGCCGAATGGGGAATGCTTTACAAGAGGAAAGGATTGCTTGAGCAGATTGTGGATGCATCCGCAAAAGTTTGGATCAATCCCAACTCATTAATAAAATTTGCAGACATTGCAGAGATAGCAGAGAAATGTTTGCAGGAAGATGATGCTGATAGGACAACCATGGGTGATGTGGCATGGGACTTGGAGCATGCTTTACAGCTTCAGCAAACAGCAGTTGTACGAGAGCCACATGAGGACAGCACGTCCAATGCTTCCGGTATTTTATCATTTCCCGTTCTCCAGCGCTTTCCTTCCAAGAGTGCAGAATTTGGTAGAGATGATAGGTCCACTATAGAGGAGGATGACTCTGACTCTGACTCAGTCCCGTTATCAAGTGAAGTTTTCTCCTAATTGAGAATTAATGATGCCAGATAAATCATTCAGTTTACAAGGCACAGTACTAGTTTAGCGTCTTTGGTCTATGTATGTTTCATATCTGAAATCAAATTGACACTGCTTTCTTTTTGAACTCCAAGATGCATAATATAGTATAAAGGCATTTCCCTAGATCATATTTTTACCAAATACCAGACGACCAGCTAGTTAAATTGTGCTATAAGAGATGATTTCTAAGATTGTTTAATCAGGAAAAGGGGGGTTTGCTTCTGCAAGCATCCATCAGCTTCTTCTTCGGGAGAAAGAATATAGAAATCCGAAATTGATCATTTGTCAAAACAAGGGTCATGCTGCAGGGCTTATCCTGCTCACTCCATTGAAAACCTATTATGTTTAGTGGACCAAAATGATAAGAAAACAAATTGCAAAATTTCATTATGCTTCTTCATTTGCAATGCACAGATGCCACCAACCACTGACCGGAGTATTTGTCTATGATTTGCAAAGAAGATAAGACACATAGGCCAGCTACTTCAAGTTGCCAAGTAAACTATAAAGCCAAAGACATGAAACTAAATTTGCGATTGCAACAACTTATAAATTGCTCTATAATTTGGAAATTTTCTCTTTGACACATTTGCTGTTGTTTTTTTTTTTTTTTTCCATCTGCAGCTGATAACTATACCAGACAGAATCAATAAATTATCTAAAACTGTACATATATATGTACCAAGACCAAACTCCTGACCAATTACAAACCAGAAGGACAAAAAAAATTAACAAAATGAATCCGAAGGAGAGATTACTAATGACCAGGGCCTTTTCTACTAGGTCCAGAAGCCATAGTTGTCCCTTGCTGCTCTGCAAAAACCCGACCGCTGCCATCTTTAAGGTCCCTGGGAACAGCTTCCCGGCTTGCATCTTCAATCTTGTTTGTTGATTGAAGAGGCCTAGAACAATCAACAGAAGCTGACTCTGAGAGAACAAGCACGGCCAATACCAGTAGAACGAGACAGAAGTGTCTCATTGTTAATGTTGTTTGTTAGTCTATGGTCGTAGTGACCCCCTTTGTATAATAAAAGTTCCAAGGCTTTCAAAATATTCCCGTCAATAAAGAATGGAGCTAAAAAGAATGGTTAAGCATCTCCATTGAATTAGGTACCGCCCCTTTTTAACAAGGGGTGGTTTGGGTGTCAAGAGAAAGGACGGTTTATGGTTTTTTGGAGTGGTTCCGTCAAAGGAAGTATTTGACTGACTTCTAATACTTTTTTGTGATTGAATGCTAAATAGTTTTACATTCTCATTTGTCTTTATCAGAACTCATGTCTCTACACTTTACAGCTTATTTCCAATTCTGGAAACTAACGTAGATCCTACCATATAAATTTGCTACTAGTATAAAACTACCTTTGGTAAATTCTTCTTGTCCTTTTCTATTCCCTAATACCACAGTTAAGATTAAGACAAAAACGTGGTGAATTACTTAAAAATCATAGGTTTATTTTTCATTTGTCGTCAGGGATTGAACTTTTATTAACGGAACTAAGAATTCAATATTCTACTAATATCTTATGACTATTTGGCATAGTTTCAATTTATCTTCATTTTCCCTCTTATTCTTTTTTAATTAAATTTAGTAATTTTTGTATCTTATCATATTTATTTTGCATCAAATACGTATAAAAAATAAAAACGACCATGTCACAATTCGCCTAAACTATTTATATAATTTTTACAAAATTTTAAATCGTATCATATTTAAAATTATCTTATCTATTTTATCCTGACGAAAGAAAATGATTAATAACATAGTTTATTGTATGGTTCAAACATACAGATTGCATAAAGGAATCTAGGGACGGGATAGAAAATGGGAGGTGGAAACAAAGAACAAAAGTACACATAATTTGTTATTCTTGATGCTTTTTTATTGGTAAAGGAAAGTGAACCATAAGCCAATAAAAAAGAGCCATTGTTTTTAGTTTGATATGGTTTATGCTCCAAACTTGGACCTGCGCACGAGTAATTTCCAAGCAGCTGTCCATAGTCCTTCCGCTCTTTCTTTTTCTTTTCATTTTCTTACTGTTTTCACAATAAGTCAGAAAAGACTTAGATGAAATTCATGATATTTTTTTACTAAAAATAATTAAATTACAATTGAATATCAAAATCGATATATTAAAAAATCACATTACATAAATTAAGTGTGTAAAATTTTTTAAAAAATTAATAAATTGTAATATATATTTTTATATAAATATTTTTAATAAAATTATTGACAGAATTTTTTTTCGTTAAAAAAATATAAATCAAATTTGAATTATAAATAATATTTTTAATAATAATTTTATATATTATTGATTTTCATATTAAATTTCATCAATTTATTGATTCAAATTTTTTATTAAATTATTTTATTAAAAATTTAATAAATTTCACATGTAAATTTTATCCGAACCAAACTAGCTACTAAGCAACGGTGCCGACCAAGGCCAAGGTATCAAGAAAAGTCGATGTTGAACATATATAGTTTTCTAGAGAAAGAGCCACTCAATGTGGGGAATCTCATAATCTTTAATTTGTGACAAAGGGAACAATAGAAAACTTGAAAACTTCTTCCTCCGGGATTGGAGGGTTGGGGGGGTTTTATGTTTCTAGCATAATCCATTGCTCTATCTAAAAGAATGAAATTTAAGGTGGCTTGCTTGTATATATTTAACTATATAAAAAAAGATGCCGGACACTCTTTCTATGGTTATGATTTTTGTATTTGACTTGTTGGATTCTTGTTCTTTTTTTTTTTTTTTTTGGTAAGAGAGGTTGTAGTATAAAGATAATGAAAATTATTGTAAACATTAAAATTTAAATTTTGAATTTATTAATATTATTTTTTAAAAATAATTATAAGAATTAATATAATTTTATTTTTTTTTGTCATAAATTGTTCTACAATTTCATAACGAAAAATTTCAATGTTAAAACTCTTCATATTTCAACTCAAAGTTTTGTAATTAAGTTTTAAAATGAATGAGATAAAATTTAGAAAATAAAAAAATCATTTTTTAATAATAATAATTATTATTATTATTATCGGAAATCTTTGCGAAGAAAGTGAGAAAGTAGAAACCTTTCTTAGGCCTTGGTTGGTAATTGGTATAAGTACTTGAAGGTCCCTGTATTAAAGTGAAATGTTCATTTTAATCCTTCTACTTTAACTTTGATTAATTCAATTGTTATACTCTCAAATATGTATATAAAATCCATGATAATAGATAACAATTGCAGACAAGAAACGTTAATTGTGATCATTTGAAATTGATTTTTGAATTTTTGTTGATAGAGAAATTTTTTAATATTAAATATAAAATTATTATTGACACGTGAAGAATATATAAATAAAAATTATTTAAAAAAAACCCACATTAAGAATATTTCTGTGAACATTTACAAGTCACCTTCACGTCATTTTCACATTATTACAGTTTAAGTGTTAATATGTTATTTTTTATTATCAATTGTCTTTGATTTTACACATATTTGAAATTACCAGATTAAATTGGGGTAAAATGAATATTCTGTTTTTGTTAAGGACCTGTCAAATATTTATACCACTAATAGTTATACGGTTTCAATTATTCCTTAAATTATAGGGTTTCAATTATTCCTTAAAAATTCCAATTGGTCGGTAGACACTCCGGCATCACCATATGCCAATCTTTTGATAATTATTTAAAGAATTAAGCAAATATTTGGATAAATGATAAGATTGATTTTGATAAAGTTAAAAATATTAATAGAAATAAAACTAATTATTATAATAATAAAATTAAAATTAATGGTTAAATATGTGTTTAAATGTAAAAATAATTATGACAATAAGATGAATTATAGTAATAATAAAAAATAACTATTAAGTGTATTAGATTAATAATTGTATATAATAATATTTTAAATTATTTAACATTTATAAAATCAATAAATAATTAATAAATTATATTTATATTAAATAAAATTTTTTATTAATAAATAATAATAATAATATATCAAATTGATGAAATTATGTTATAATTTAAAAATAAAAAGGAGGTAATTAAAAAAATTAATGACCAGTGGCCAACTGGATAAAAATATCTAGTGGCTAATTGCCGTTAAATATTCGGGGAAATTGCATCCAAATTAACTTTTCTTTCCTGGGATGATATCTAAAAATAATAGTTAAACAACCAAATATATTTAACTTAATTTTTTAAAAAATAAAAATAATTTTCGGTCATTGGAGAGAATGAGAAATTCATTTGAAAGTGAAAAAGAAAAAAATTGACTTCATACCAACTATATAGTTTTTTTTTTTGGTAAATATTAAAATTTTAATTTCAGTGATTAACATTCAATTTATAATAATTTCAAATATTAATAAAAATTAAATTTGATTTTTTCAAACTCGAAATGTGATGAAAATTTTTATCATGTGATAGTAACTATACAATGACAAAAAATTGCATTAAATATATACATTAGTGCCAGTGGATTTCTTTTTTTTTTTAAATATGTAAAATATAATATATATTTATTAAAAGATTTTGATCAAATTTTAATTCAAAATAAAATGTATAATGACAAAATTACACTAATTAAATGGTTAGTGATAAATGAATCAATCACATATTTAGAATGAATGACAAATTTACATCTTATTGAAAAGTTTTTCATGTGAACAAATTGAAATTAGCTCAGAACAAAAGAAATACACATTGAAAATTTTAATTTCCAAAATAAGTTTAAAATATTACCACATGTCTTTTTTTTAATTATTTTTTATTATATTTAAAACATATACATCATCCTATTAATTTTGTTTGTAAAATATAAAAACTCCACCAAATTTGATAATTTTTAGATATATATGTTAATTAAGAAGGAAAATTCTTTAAGTACTCTATGATATTTAACATTTAGGGTTTACCTATTAATATTTATATATCTAAGTGGCCATATACATATTATTAGGAAGATAATTTAAAGATATTAGTTAGCTTAAGCATTTTAATTAGATCTTAAAATAATCTGCTTTGCCCTTAAGCTTTTGGACTTTAGGTCAATTACAACCGACCCACATCTACTTGTTGGACTTTAG